AAAAAATTACAGATGTTGAATCATCTGTAGCATTGTGATTTAATGTATATTTATTTGGATTATTTGGATTTATATTTATAGATTTTCTAGATTTTAATCACTTCCGCTCAATATATATTCTTTCTTTTTTATGTACATTTTTGTATAGTGTCACGGCTGTTGCTGTCACCTTTGTGTTTCCCCCTTTTCTGTCTCACCTCTACCAAGTAGGCTGTGTCCCTGTGGATTGAAGACCCGCCTCATCCACCCTCCTTTTGTTTGTTGTTACCTGTCTGCATCCCCAGTTACCAAATAAAGTTACTGTTTTAAGATCTATACCAGTTTTGCCTATATGTTTATGGCCCCCACTCCTCTAGACCAACAGGGGGGCGTAACATATATGGGGGCTCGTGCGGGATTCTCTTTCTAGAGGAATCCCAATTGGCATTAATTGGTTCTTGGTAACATTTGAGTGACTAGCTTGACAGTAACGAGGCATAGCTTGCCTGATTCAGGGAATCATGGCAGCTGAGTTTGAGGTCTTTCTAAAACAGCCCTCAGTAGAGAAATTTAATGTGTCGGAAAGACGAGTTGCTCCAGTTAGCAGCCCACTTTGGCATCTCGGTTCCCAAAACCATTCTTAAAAGGAGTTGAAGCCTATGCTATTATTGGCATTAGTTGAGAGGGGGATACTTGTAGTGCCAGAACCGCCCCAGAAAGAGCTCATGTTCCCAGTTGCTGGTTCAGCTGCCAAAGGGGAACTCAGGCCCGGCCCTGCTATGGACGTAGCAGACTCAGACAAAGCAGGTGAAAGGCCGGCGATGCCGTTCATGCTGTCCAGGATTGATCCGTCCTCTGCCAGCAGTTCTCGTTCGCTAGAAGCGGGGCTCAAGGTACGCCTTGCCAGTCTCCAGTATGAAGCACAGGACAGAGAACGTCAGAGGCAACTCCAACTCGAAGTGAGGAGAATGGAGATTGAGGCTGACCAGGTGGTGAGACTGCGGAAGTTGGAGCTAGAAAGCGCCAATGCAGCTATGGCTGGTGGGGCCACGGGTTCTGGTGGTACAACTTCTCTCCCCTACTCATCCAAATTGGACTCGGTAAGTCCCGGATTTGATGTCGGCAAAAATATTGCTTTGGTACCGTTGTTCCGAGAGGCTGAAGTGGACTCTTACTTCCAAGTTTTTGAGCGAATAGCTTTAGCATTAAAATGGCTGCTTGAGGTTTGGTCGCTATTGCTGCAATGCAAACTACAGGGAAAAGCTCAGGAGGCTATAGCTGCTCTTTCTGTAGAGGACAGTGCAGACTATGAAACAGTTAAGTCAGCAATTTTGCGAATTTATGAGTTAGTGCCCGAAGCTTACAGGCAAAAGTTTCGGTCACATAAGAAGCCAGCAACGCAAAGTTACACGGAGTTTGCCCGAGAGAAAGCCATTCTCTTTGATCGGTGGCTTGCGTCATCTAATGTAGCTGAGTTCAGTTCACTTAGAGAACTTTGTCTAATAGAGGAGCTTAAATGCTGCCTACCTGAACGCATAGTGATGTACTTAAATGAAAAAAAGGTGTTAACATTATCTGCTGCAGCTACGTTAGCAGATGAGTATATGCTAATTCACAAACCAGCGTTTCTTCAGGTTGTAGACAGTTCCCATCGTGTAAACCTACCTCAGACTAATCCTCCTAGGAATCCCAGTCCGAAGGAAGAAGAGCGTCATTGTTATTACTGTCATAAGAGGGGACATGTTATTGCTGATTGTGTGATTTTGAAACGCAAAGACCGGTCGTCTTCGCATGTGTCTCGGCCCAAGGGTGTCGGATTAATTAACAATCTACAAAGCCCTGAGTTAAACTGTGACAACCAAAGTGAGGTTGATCCCTGTTTTCGTCCATTTGTACACAAAGCACTTACTTCGCTTACAGGATTGCCAGCAGTATGTTAAAGTGTTACGAGACACCGCCTGCTCCCAATCGGTTGTGTTAGCTTCCGTGCTACCCTTTTCAGTTGAATCCGCCTGTGGATACAGGTCCGTCTTAAGGGGCATTGAAATGGATATGCGTCTCGCCCTGTGCATAAGGTGCACATTCAGTCCGATCTAGTCAGTGGGTTTTTCCCAGTAGCAGTGTGTGATGAGCTTCCCATACAGGGTGTTGTGTTGCTCATGGGAAATGACATAGCCGGGGGTTTCTCCAACGTTGGAAGTCTTGGATGTACCAAGAGACCATGCCTGCTGCACAGAGTCGCCCAAGGTATTTCCAGCCTGTGTCGTCACTCGTGCGCGGGCACACCGGATGACATGTGATGATGGGTCAGATATTTCGCTAGCTGATAGTGTTTTGTAAGCCTTTGCAGATAGCTGATTCAACTCCCGTGAAGGAGCCAGTGTCAGTGGAGAGCGAGGCGGAACTGTCCTCTAACTCCTCACCACTGCCAGCTACAAGAGAACGCCTGGCTGTGGCTCAGAGAGGATCCAACCTTACAGGCCTGCTTTAAGAATGTGGTGAGTGACAGCAATGCAGCAAGTGGTGAAAAAGTAGTGTATTACGGTGTAGCTTTTGATGCGGATTGGCAACGCGTGTATCAGATTGTAGTGCCTTCAGTTTACAGACAGCATGTCTTATCTGTCGCCCACGAAAGTAAATGGTCAGCGCACTTAGAAGTCACTAAGACTTATCAGTTAGTGTTGAGACATTTCTTCTGGCCTGGGTTGAAGACAGATACAGCTACATTTTGCCGTAGTTGTCATGTATGTCAGGTGACAGGGAAGCCTAACCAAAAAGTTTCCCCTGTCCCTCTACATCCCATACCTGTGATTGAAGCACCTTTTGGCAGAGTGATTATCGACTGCGTAGGTCCGTTGCCACATACTAAGAACGGTAACCAGTATCTGTTTACGATCATGTGTGCGGCTACTCGCTTCCCTGAGGCTGTCGCCCTCCGAAACATCACTGCAAAGAACATAGTCAGGGCTCTAACTAAATTCTTCAACTTTCGGTTTACCTCATGTAGTACAGTCAGCCCTGCCCAGCTTGTGTTTGGACACACTCTCCGTGGTCCTCTGCAAACATTGCATGACCAGTTTCTGTCGTTGCAGTCTGTTCCTGGACACAACGTGCTCGATTATGTAAGTCAGTTCCGCGAGCGGAGAGAGGACAGAAATCACAGCTATGCTTTTACTGTTCGTACTGTAATTTGTTGACACAGCATGTCATTGTAAGAAGAAAAGAAAGACAGGACTGTTGCCTGTAGTGTCACAGATTCTCTTCCACATCACAACAGATATCTTCATCAATTCAGGACACATTTCCCAAAAAATTCTTGTATGTATTGGTTAGCTCACAGGACTCATAGGTTTAAGGTTTTGTGCTCAATTCTCACTGAAGACTAAATTTTTCTTTTTTATGTTTTTCATAATCCTCTTCAACAAAGTTCTTATGAAAAGACTGTTTCACATGCTCACATTACTGTAAAGTACGTGCTGGACTCTGTGCATTCTTGGTCCACATCCATCAACCTATGGACTTTTCATTTCCCCATCATTCCCAGGCAGAGGAAATTCCTTCTCATTCAGGAGAATCCATGTAACGTCACACATTTCTTGACGACTTTCGGAACCTTTGAAATAGCCGTCGGGAAATGTGTGATTGGATTCCCCTCAGTCTCTTTGTAGCAAATTTGCTGAAGAGGATAATACACACAAAAGAAGAAAAAGAAAATCAACAAGAACAGGAATCAAACTAATCAAACTGAGCCCTGTGCTCTACCAACTGAACTAACCAGTGACACTGGTAATTGCTTTGAAATTATCCTAAAGAAACGCACCTGCCAGCCCTTGTATTCAGCTATGGTTTGTTATCTCGTGATCACGAGAAAATTAATTATCCCGTTCTCAGGGGAAAACAACATTCGCTTTATATATTTCTTCTCACTGTGTATTGTTACTGTTTACTGGTATTGAGTATTGGTATGAGTGTTGCTATTGTGATGTTGTTGTGGTCTATTCTTACTTTGTTTATGGTCCTTAAGAAACAACATTTCGTTTAGCTGGAGTATATACTTGTAGGCAAAGGATATGAATAAAGTATTTTAACTTTGATTTTTGATAACATGTTCAAACATTTTGCATGTAGTGACTAATGCAATGAACTTATGCCTAGATGTTTTAGGGGGTAAGATTATTCAACAGACTTGTATAATTCATTGTGATCAGCAGGACATAAGCAATTGATAATGTAGGAAACAGCAGACAATTGTACATAATCATTTGCATCAGTGTGTCAAGTCATTTGCAATTTGTTCAAAACATTGAGAAAGTGCTTTTATGATGTGCACAAGTGATGAGATGATGTGGAGGTTGAACAATTCGTTTTGAGAATTTCAATTCTGATCTGAGAAATACACCAAAGCGACTGAGAAAAACTGTAAGTCACTGATGATCAGTAGTTTTGTTTTGTGCCAGTGAAGTTTTCAGGCAATTACATTGCAGAGACTATAATAGCTCAGCAAAAATATTAAATTATGTGGGGAAAAGACTTCTAATGCATGATTAGCTGTCGTTGTGAGGACCCCCACTCTCTTCTAACCTACAGAGAAGTTGATCTTTAAAACATAGCATCACTGTGACATTGGGCCAGTGGCAAATTGTTTGTTATCAACAAGCTTTAAGTTGGTATTTATTAAAAGCTTTACTTTCTGACAACCAACTTTTTGTGCCACCAGTCACCAGTCCTGGTATCCCAGTTATGATCTGGTTTCCACTGGTTATGGTTTGTGCATTTAAACACTGTATACTGATTTCAGAAACATGAAAAGCCCATATCTTAATCAGTGATGATGAACAACCTTAGACTGTATATAAAAAGTGAACAACACACTGATGATCTACACACTGAAATGAAACTGAAAGTTAAGCAGGTGCAGAAGCATGTGTGGGTGTTAAAGACACAGTCACCCTTTTCCAACTTCACCCATGTTATAAAGCCATTGATGCAAGCAAATACACTGTATGCCTTTAACAAAACTTTCAACAGAGAAGCAGTGCCCTTTTTTATTTTCCCAACTTCCTTATATCTCATGTGACCTATATTGCTGCACTGCTTTGTGTTTATTATCTGCAGGTATGACAATACTTTATTTTTTCTAGCTGTCCTTAGTGAGACTAATATGATGATTTCTATCAAGTTTTTGAAAAGACAGCTTTGCTTTTTAACAAATTGTATTGAGTGTTTTACAATACAGCACAGTTGTTTCAAACGGTTTTCAAATTACTGTACAAATTAAATTACTGCACTATTATGTTAGCTACTATTATGAAGTGTATTATTCAAATACACTTCAGTAATGCAGTACAGGGCTTTATATAAAATATAGCTCAGTGTAGTTCAAATTACAATTAGGCTGTAGCCTAAAATAGTATGTGCTTTTTTACAAATACAGTAAAAACCAGTGCTTGAAGTAGCCTATGCCGAGTTTTGCCTGCCTGCGAGAATTGCATGCACCTCCAAATACTGCTATTAAACGCTATAATATGTGGGGTTTATCAATGGCGATAAGTGATTCGTGAATGAAGTATTTATTTTATTAACGTTTAGAGTCTTTAATATTTTAATACACTTAGTAGAAGTACCATTCCTTGACATTCAGTAAATATAGCCTATGTGGTGATAATACCGTTTGATCAATGAGCACAGGAAAATGTCTGAAAAGGACCTAAAGAGGTGGATGCATAATTCGGCAGATCAAATGTTGTTGGCTACCTGCCGAGATTTGTATCAACCTCTTTTCTCAGCATAAATGACTGTTATCACCCGTGAGGGCATGCAATTCTCGGCAGGCAGGCAGAATTCGGCATAACACCGGTACTCCGTGAACTCTTTTAAGTCCCTTCTTAAAACATACTTTTATAGGAGAGCCTTTCCCGATCTTATTTGACTTTATTTTATCCCTTTTATTTTATTGTATTTTACTAATTTTATATTAATTTTTCATGCTCTTATCTTGTTTTTTTGTATTATTCTTTACACTTGTTAAAGCACTTTGTAACTTGTTTTTGAAAAGTGCTCTACAAATAAGGATTATTATTATTATTATTACTCTCCTCAGCCCTCTCCATATCAGGGCGCTACGTGACGCTCATCCTTTTCCTGTTCTGCTAAACTCTGTTGGCGGAGAGAGACAAGGGAGAACAGAAGCTCGGGTGCCTTTCAAGCAGCCGTGTGCTGAATGTAGCTCGTCAATGTCACTTGTCGTGAACCGACCAATCACAGCCTGGATGGGGCGTGACATTTAAAAGTATCGACAGATAGGTGTCATTTACACTGGGGACGCTGGGGACGCGTCAGTATCCGAATGTCTCCATCAGTTTTTGAAAGCTTTTGTTAAAAATGTTCTAAAAAACAGCACCAAGAAATGTTGAGTAACAAATGAAACAATGCACAATAGGGAAACATGCAATGCAGCTGAAATATAGAAGAAACAAATGTGCATTGTCCAAAAGCTGAATTATATTCCATTACATTTTCAAAATTTGAATTCACCTGTCACCTTAATTTTGTTTCCCTTCATATAAATAAAGACATTTCCTCCATAAACTGATGCAGAAAATGTGTTCATAAAGCAGGAAATTAAGTGATTAATGCGCAAAGTCCTTAAAGTTATAATATTTACTTGTGGTTGGTCTTGTGGTTGAGGATAGAGTGGGGTGGGGAGTACTGGCACCTATTTTTTTCCACTTCAAGCACTGGTAAAAACAGTAGTGCAAAGCTTGGTGGTGGTTTCAGTGCATTTCTAAACTTGAAATAAAGTGTAGGCTAACAATCCCAAACTGGTAGCAGAGTTTGAAAAGTGTTTGCTGTTGGTGGGAATTGTTGTGTTTCAGTAAATAAAATCACAGAGTACGGTCTAGACCTGCTCTTTTATGAAAAGTGCTATAAGATAACTGTTGTTGTGATTTGGCGCTAAATAAATAAAATTTAATTTAATTTAATTGAAAACAAACATATTTAAACAGCATTTGTATAGAAATGATTCTGTCCCAAGCTTTTTGATCTATTTTGGAAGACAACAGAAAACACAGTGGCTAGGCAATACTTTTACTTAAATAGCTGTAGCTTTATAGTTGCACATTATGGTAAATAATATCATTTGTAATAGATGCTTCTTCTCACCTCTGTCTTCTCTTTAGATAATGGAGCCAATGAATTCACTTGAGACTGCAGACTTGCAGCCTGCTGTCCCACTGTCTCCCTCTATTTGTGTTCCTCTCACACTGAGAGATGGTGAGTGTTACCATGTCTTCGTTAGCTACAGCAGCAATGACTACCAGTGGACCCACTCCCTCATCAACCAGCTGGAGTCCTGGGGCATGCAGGTCTGCTTCCATGACCGTGACTTCACTCCTGGCTGCACCGTGTGGGACAACATGTCCAACTGCATCCAGGAGAGCCAGAAGGTCTTGCTGGTTCTCAGCAAAGAGTTTGTGAGGAGCCGCTGGTGTCTCCTGGAGGCTAACATGTCACTGTTAAAAGACTGCCTGGAGAGGAAGCCCATCATCCCAGTGCTGCTGGAGCGAGGGGTCTCTGTTCCTCTCCACCTCTGCCACCTCACCTACCTGGAGGGCAACGACCCTGACTTTATGAATAAACTACTCAAGGTGATCTGCACGTCCAACCAGCAGCTTCAAGGGTCCACTGTGATGCCCTTCCAGCCTCCCTCTATATACAACGGTAAGGCCCTGCAGCCTTTGACTGCTGTCAATGATGAGGAGCTCTATAAATGGGATTCTGGTCAGTTCAGTGACATGGAGGTGCCAGACCAACTGCACCTGATCATTGAGGACCAAGAGAAGTACAGAACGGCTGTGAGGATGATTAATAGTGTCTCGCAAAATAAAGTGTGGCTGCGCCAACTTTGGGTTAGGGTATTGATCTACATTAGTGGTGTAATTTTTTTTTCCTTCTTTGTAGGATTTTCTATATATATGACAATTGGTAGCATAGTGCTTCTAAGTGAAAACAAAAACCTTATCGGAGTAAGGGTGCTCACTAGTTTTAGTTTCTTCTGTGTTCCATTGGGGTTGATTATTCAGATTAGTCTCTGGAAGAAGGATGATGAGAAGTACATAGTGAGGGAGATGCAGAAAGCCATAGGTCAAGCAAACACAATCCTCTCTGCGGAGAAGGTGTTAATGGGCTGTCGGTCCAATTCAAAAATCTATCTGGTGTATGTTTCTCTGGACAGTTGCAAAGAAGAGTTTGCAGGAACATTTTCAGAGCAGGATGGTGCTGAAGATATGTTTCAAAAAGCTCTGATGTTCTTCTCATCAGGTTACGCCTGCTGCCTTGCTAAAAGACACTTTCCCTTTCCCCAGCCCAGCTCCACTGGTCACCTGGAGCGAGGGGTGTGTTTCTGTCAGTATGTCTCCGAGCAGCTGAAGACAGGGAAATGGGAATAGAAGTAATAGTATGGACCTGCAATTAATGAGTAGGTCAGTGCTGGACAAACACTATTAGGAATATTTTTATAAAGACAGCAACATTTTATATTAATTCCCTATTTATGGCATATAATTTGCCATAAATTTAAGCCTAAAAATGCAGAACATGTTTACATCTGTTTGGGACAAAAAATGGATGGTGTTAAATCCAATACAGTAAAGGCTACTTGTTTTGTTTGTCACCTCTCTGTTAACATGTCAGACTGTATAAATAGGGACTGAGTGATTGATCTGGCTGACATAATCACATGTTGTGAAAAAGGTGGTTTACTTTGTGATAGATTTTAGTCACTTACTAGAAAATCACATACTTATGCTTAGGTGTTATTCAGTAACGCTTTTCTCCGATGCTCATACAGCACTAGTGTACACTTTTTCTCTTGCCTGAAAGACAACTTGAGCTAAGACCAGTTTATCCAGCAGGGTTTGGGTAAAGTATAAAGGCAGCAGAAAAAGTGCAAAACTCTGATATCTTTGTAAACATATACACATGTTTTTATATTCTGCTCTGATTTCTATTTCTGAATGCATGGGGGGGGGTTATTGTATTGTATTATATTTCTCCATACACCGTGTAAATGTCAAAGCAAGCATATGGTAATGTCCCATCACATTTGATCGAATTTGGCCTTTGCCACTGAATACTGAATGACATTCTGCATCTTAGAACCATCCCCTACAGTTCTCTGTTACTCACTTGTGGTTTCTCCACGCCAAGGTAGATACAACACAGACAGGAAAAAGAGTAAATTTGTACTTCACCATTTTAGACAATAATAATTTAACAACTACTTGTAATATTTTTGTGTATGATAATTTTCATGCCTTTTCAATTGTCAAATACTTCATTAAAATGTATTACATCACAAGCATAGTGTTTGTTTCCTTAAGCTATTTATTTAGCTGGTGAGAATGAAAATGAATAGAATCCCAGAATAAATTTAAGGTGAATGGTGCCTTTAAGGCCTGGGCAATCTCCTGAAAATAAACACATTTCTGCTGGTCTAGAACAGATAGAACACTTTATAACAAGGGTAGAAAACACAAGTAATACTTAACAATTGCATGACTCAAATGCAGGATGTATCATGTATCATGTTTAAATTCCTGTTGCTCACCATTAAGAAATAATCAAATCACTATGACTTTGTGACTATGTGATTAATTAATACATAACAGATGATCAATTTATGAATATTTACTTACAATAACTTCATACATTAATTGATATATGACCAAATTAGCTGGATCCCAGTTACAGTTCATTTAGGACTGATTCATTTGATCTGCCTCTCTGAAAGCAAAACATATATAAACATGAAATAACGAAAAAAATGTTTGTCAGATAAAATCATATACATGTTGCTGCAGATTTGGTGGTCTTTATGTCATATTAACAAGCTACATTTTTTAAAAATACATTTGTTGTTGTGCACCATAGAAAAGAGTGATAAACTTTTGAGCAAGTGCCAATAGACAAATTAGGAGAGACAAACATATGGTGTTTTTTAAAAATTAAACCATGTAAACTTATTCTGGTACAACCCCTAAATAAAATTATTAACCTGAACATGAGCATATGACCACTTTAATGGAAGCACCGAATCAACTGAGTGTAAATAAGGCAGTGTTCATCATTAATTAATCAATACTTCACACACAAGATTACCATTACTTACATGACTTGTGCCCCGTTATTGTTGTGTTACTCATTTGCAAATGATCACATAAGGTAAAAATACATATAATACAATTTAATGATTCATGATTAAATCATAATGGTCAAGCATTAATTAAGTATATGTTTTCATCCCTAGCTTTTCCATAACTATTTGAAGATTTGTGAAATATTATACAAAGTTTTAAAGTTTAATAACATAATTTACGCAGTTGCCTTTCAGCAAGCAAGAATAGTTAAGCGTGGAGTACTGAGTACTCATTAGTCAAAAATTCAAACTGGCACCATAAATCTAACTAGTTATATAATGTTTTAAGGTGAGGTATGCTGCTTAAGACAGCATGTGGTATAAGTTTCTCTTATCTGTGATTCTTCTGACAAAATTTTGTTGACCTTTCCCCCTGATGCCAGATTATCAGAAACAAAAACCTGTTTGAGATGTGAGCGCCGCCATGTACCACAGAAGAAGGATCAATATTTGCTGTCCTTTATGACATTCAGTGACGGGATTCAGGATATGAAAGAGAGACTTGACACTGTTGCCTGAGGGGTCTGTAGCAACACATCAGTAAAAAGACACTGCTGGGAAAATCAACCAGACCAAGACTGCATGTCATTGGGATGATGCCTGGGTCACACTGTGCACATACAGTTCTCACTGTGCGTGATGAAAGGTGGAAATCACTTGCTTGCTGCTGTTCAAATAAAACTGAATTAGGATGGATTAAGTGTACATATCTCAGGTAAAAAAAGTGCCTGGCCCCATAAAATCATGCTGCATGCATGCGTATTGGAAGTGTAGAGTGGCGGGATAATTGCTCAGAAGCAACGGTCATATTGAGAGCAATCTTTCAAATTCTCAACAATGATGTTGATACTTTAGCTTAGTCAACTCCGCTACTGTCACAGCTATTAAAGCTTTATTTATTGTCCCTGTGCATGTACAGAGGTGTTTGAGAATATTCAGATATGAAATTATCCACAACAGCTAAATTACAGCAACATAAATGGCTCTGTTCTCAAGTGCAATGAGGCCTGGTCGCTGGGAGTTGTATCGCTTTTTAAATAAGCTCTCAAAGCGGTTTCATACTAGCTACAGTTACACTATGGCATGTTAAGAATTTTAATGGCGTTAATTAAAACATTCCTCTTCTAAGAGGCATAGAGTGGAGGTTATGATAGAAAAACAGTAGAAAGACAATAACTTGCTGAACTAATGAAAGACTGATAAAAGCAAATAACGTTTGTAGTTATTTATTTGATTTTCTTTTTAGCATCAAATCATACAATGTGGACAAGAAAGGTGGCTAGTTAAAGTTAGCAGTTTCCTCTTTCACCAAGCACAGTGACTAGGGTTGCTTTGAATTCTTAAAGTGATATACCAAATAATTACATTAAAAACAAAAATCAAATTGACCTCCTGTAGCAGAATGTTGGCAACTAGATGTCAACCATTTCTTCCCTCCATAAAGAAAAGTAGTTGTGCTCAGCTTGAAGTTAGTTCATCCATCACCTTAGAGTTGTGGATGAATCCCTGTCATTTTCCCCCCAAATCCTAAAATGTGAGGCTCTTATCAGCTAATAAAAATCAACTATATGCATGCAAAATTAATTCTCTGCATTTAACCCATCCTAATTAGGAAAAGCAGTAAGCAGCCATTATCCAGCGCCCAGGGAACACATGAAACTATTATTTTAGAGATAGCAATTATAAAGACAAAGAAAGAATATATTAGCACACGCAGATAGCAGGGATTGTCTGAGCTACAGAGAGAGCTGGAGGTGTTTTGCAGAGAAAAGTAGCTGCCTGCTCTGCCAGCTGCCTGCTCTCATTGGCTGGATGTGGATGTTGTATCAGAAATGTGTTGATGAGCCGTTTTGATGCGTCTTTGTGTAGTTCACACATAACGACTGGCGACCACCGATGGACTGCTGATTTACCCCCGATCACAGCTGAGCTCGCCGAGCGGTATATCGAGCTAAAAATCGTGTAGTGTGAACTAGGCTTTAGTGGTTCAGGGCCTTGCTCAAAGGCACCTTCGGCAGTGCCCAGGAGGTGAACTGGCACAGGGTGTGAAATATACAGTGACAACTGGGGGGGTCAACTTTTTTTTCAGGTCCAAAAGAAAACCCAGTACAGCACAGGCGCGGGCTTCAGTGAAGTAGAATCTTACAATGCTCACAATATCCTTGCTTATTTAACTAATGTCATAAGTCTGCAGATGATGATAAATCATTTCATTACACCAATTCATGGGTGCCCCATACCACACAACAACTTTTGTAGTCAGGGGTCACTATTCTACAGCAAAACAGCCAGCAAGTCAGACACACAACAGCAGACCATCAGGACCGCTCAAAACAAACCCACACAGTGTTGATACAGAACTAAAGACACATAAAATACAGTCTGCATTATTATCTCTAATTCCTAATTTTTATCATTCTCATCAAGTTTAAAGTTTCAACTTACTCTTTTTCAGCAAATATCTCCTTTCCTCTTGCTCATGTTGACTGTGAATGATGTAATCTGCGTCCAATAAAGCAGTAGTAATACACTGTTGTTGGGGAATTGGAGTTAAAACAAATGCCATGCTTATTGTGAAAGGACTCACAAAGGCTTCATATGAAATAATAAACTCTATATTGATACTGCTCATGCCTAAACACCAGTGTTAGCTGACAATTACATAAAATATGAAATGACATGGTTATAATGAAATGATAGGGTCGGCTCTCAGCTAGCTAACATCAGATAGCTCATTTTAAGTAAAAGGAATGCTAATTACGAATCTCTGAAGGTAGGAAGGTTAAGTGTATTAAAGCAGCTAGATAGATAACTACTGACATTAAGCTGCTGCGTCTCCATTAGCGTGTGATGCACCGGACTGGAGCAGTTGCGCTGCGAGTGATGCAGACAGACAAGATGTTCAACAAACATCAATGTTAGGAAATGGTAAGGTCCATTTTAGGGGTGTCTGAAATCGTATTTTAAGATCATTGAATATAAGGCATGAGTACAGGAAATATATTGTAATATTTACAAATATAGGTAAGAAAGACCCCCCTGAACTGTTGGTTTTGCCTCTTTTGGGGGTCAAGCCTTAACTAGGGGGGTCAGACCCTCCCAATAATTCGAACCATGAACTGGCACCTCTCCAGCTGGTCAGTGCTGGACTTAAACCGGCAACACTCCAGTTCCCAAGCCAAGCCCCCATAGACTGAGCTACTGCCCCCCTAATTTAATAATACTTTCATTTAACCATTATTGTAATTATTGTGCCATTAAGAATATGTAGCTGCTATCATAATCAACTGTTGTGGTTCTCAGTAAAACCAACAAATTCAAATTTGAGAATTTGAAAAAATTAAATTACCACTGATCCAGAGAACGGCAGAGAAGATGTGCTA